GATGTATCCTTCCCGGCCCAGCATATCCCATAATGCATTGCGGCCCGACCGGATTTTTTTTTTTTAAGCTAGTAATGGCGGACGAACCGAGAGTCGAAGCGATGGAGGAGTACAGTTTTAAATGTAAGTATATTAAAATCTGCCGGTAAAAAAATAAAAAGCGGCTGTATTTTTAGGCTTTAGTCTTTTGCATACACTGTATATGTTTTAAAATAATATTTATCTCAGAAATATCGTGAATGAGCTCGAATGGCGGGTCCTTTAGTTTTTCATGTATTGCCGCTCACTAAGCTAGTTTTTAATTTGAGACTTTTTTTTATTTGCTATTTTTTAGGGTCCAAGGAGAGAAAGAAGCTTTTATAAAGCTGAGGGAAAAATGAACACCTCTTCACGGGGTTTAAGAATTCGGCTGCTGTGGGATGGAGGTACAAGAATAAACTTATCATAATAATTATTTAAATAGTAACCTGTGATCTTAAATGGAGTATACTTTCAATGGGGTTCCACTGGCTTTCCTTTTGTGTTCTGCTATGAAAACTATTTTTACAAGAAGGGATTGACAGCTTACATGTTTCATCTTCACTTATTTTTGTGTAGGTTATAAGGACAATTCTGGAGAAGATGGGCCTGCAGGGTAAAGTCACCCCCCTGCAGGCCAAAAAGAAGTGGGACAACTTGAAAAGAAAGTATAAAGTATGTATATGAGAAGTGAAGAATTACATTTTTAACTGCACATGTTAATAAATGTTCATTTTTAAAAGATGTTTGTTTCTTTTATTGTCADCTGTGATTTCTGATTTCCTCTGTRTTTAGGATTGTAAGTATCCAGGTTCAGGAGAGGGAGTCAGTGGGAAGCCCACTGCTGCTACTTGTAGGGATGTTGACATTTCGTCAGCAGCTGCTGCCATTTTCTTCCCAAACTGCTGTGACCATATTTTGCAAGGCTGCTTGGTGCGTTTGCGTGTAATTTCCTCCTGCTTCGTTATTTCTACGAATTTCAACAAATCCGGCTGCCATCAGGTAGTTAGCTACAGCCTCGTCTTTGAGTTTTAAATTTTTGTTGATGTGTTTTGAAGAGACAATTTTTTGAAAAGAGGGTCAAAGTAAATCACCCGAGTTTTTCTAGTGAAACTTAGATAAGCTGCCACGAAGAACATTATTTTACCTGCCCTTGTTCCAAATTTGATAATGATTTGAAACGTCTAACTATGTTTTTTTTTTTTATCCGGAACAGCGCTTGTTGCAAAGTATTTTGACGCTGGTCTTCATCACTTGACACATTTAACACGCTGTCATTGGCTGAGGAGCTTTGTTTACAAAACAGATGTCCACATGGTTTTTAAATTATTTTAATTTCCTTACTTTCTAAGACACATTAAGTTGATTTGATGCTTCAATTTGTCTTGTAATGTTATTTTATACCTTTTCTGCTCCTTTTGAATTGGCTATTATTAAGTTTTATTAGWTTTTTTAGGATACAAGATGCTTCCTACAAAACCAGAATGTGAATCTTTTCCTAAAATTTCATGGCGATATCTTGAACACTGAGGAAGTTATGGGAAAAATTAGAAAACAGCAAGTTGAAATTATCACAAAGGCCCCATTGGTTTTGCTGTGAACTGCAGCAAGAAAACATGAGCTGATTTCACCTAAACAAACATCAATAACTTCCCTCATACTTCAGATAATCACATGATTCTGGTGTTATTTTGTATGGTTTAAAATGTTCTTTTGGAATCCACTGTCAGATTTAATATTGGTGTAGGATTAAAAATTTATCCACATCCTTACTACTTGGTCCTGGTTTGACCTTATGGATGAGGTGTTAGGACAGAGGCCTTCCATTACGCCTCCTGTCCTGATTTCCTCCATCCCTGAGGACACTCAAGGGCCAAGTGCAGCAGTGGGTGACCAAGAGGAGATGGACGAGGAAGAAAGTCAGGGAGAAAGAGGCGAAGGGACAGGGACGATGAGCTGATGGACCTGATCAGAGAGGACATGAGACAGCAGAGAGAGGACATGAGACAGCAGAGAGAGGACATGAGGCAGCAGAGAGAGGACATGAGACAGCAGAGAGAGGACATGAGACAGCAGAGAGAGGACGAGACAGCAGAGAGAGGACATGAGACAGCAGAGAGAGGACATGAGACAGCAGAGAGGACATGAGACAGCAGAGAGGACATGAGACAGCAGAGAGAGGACATGAGACAGCAGAGAGAGGACATGAGACAGCAGAGAGAGGACATGAGACAGCAGAGAGAGGACATGAGGCAGCAGAGAGAGGACATGAGGCAGCAGAGAGAGGACATGAGACAGCAGAGAGAGCACAGGAGAGCAGGGAGAAAATGGACAGACTGTTTTCAATACTTGAAAAACTTGCTTCAAAAATTTTTTTTTAAATTCTGTTATTGTTGTGTTCAATTATTGTTCTATTATTGTTTTATGCAGTTATTGTTCCAAATAAATGAAATAAAAAAACAGTAAATGAATATAACTCATTTTATTAACTTAACATTTTTATAAACATGTATGAATGTGAAAAAGAATATAAAGAAAAAAACTATTTACAGAAATAAAAAAGAAACATTGTACAACTATTTACAGTTAAGGCAGGATTAACCTGAGTGTCCCCTTGACCATTTAATGTAAAAAAAAACAAAAAACAAAACAGTAAGTCTCTGGCAGTGTTGCTGGTTGTGCTGAAGGAACCGGCTGGAGTGCCACAACAGAGACCCGAGACTGGTCTTCTCTGGTCAGCAAGTGGAACATCATGGGTGGTCTGCAGAGTGTTTTTGGGATGCTCCCTCTCACTGTCCACTGAATCATCCAACAACGGTTTGCAGGGCTGGCTCAATCGATGGCTGCCACATCACTAAGACATATAACAAAATATGCCAACGAGATAATATTAATAGGTTTCCATTCATATAGTACAAAAGAACAGTGCATTTTAAAAATAAAGATATTTTGATAAATTACTCACGTTTTAGCAGTAGTCGTGGTCTGCTGGTACCTCCTCCAGGGCAGACACCTCAGCAGACAGTTGGTCCCGCCAGCGAGCACCGCTGACTGCCTCCAAGCCAGCCTCCCCCCATGCAGAAAAAACTAGCTTCGACCTCCATTGTTAGCTCTTGAAGCACGAACATGGTTGCTAGGTGACCACACTTACGCCGGGTAAGAGCGGGAATGAAAGCCGAAGGCTAGACCGTCCAAATTCACAGCGACTTTCTTCCGGTCTTCCCGGTCTACTAAGRACCCAGCCCACCTCGATGGGGTAGGCTGGGTCCTTCGGAGGACCCGGCCTGCCGTTTTGGACACACCCACTGTCTAAAGTCCTGAAACATTCCAGCAATTTCAGTACCTTGGACAGGTCCTTCAACAGTTCCTTCAGTCCTTCACACTGTCTAACGTCCTGAAACATTCCAGCACCTTCAGGACCTTGGAGAGTTCCTTCAATCCTTCACACTGTCTAAAGTCCTGAAACATTCCAGCAACTTCAGGACCTTGGAGAGTTCCTTCAATCCTTCACACTGTCTAAAGTCCTGAAACATTCCAGGACTTTCAGGACCATGGACAGTTCGTTCAGTGTTCACACTGTCTAAAGTCCTGAAACATTCCAGCACCTTCAGGACCTTGGAGAGTTCCTTCAATCCTTCAAAATGTCTAAAGTCCTGAAACATTCCAGCACCTTCAGGACCTTGGAGAGTTCCTTCAATCCTTCACACTGTCTGAAGTCCTGAAACATTCCAGGACTTTCAGGACCATGGACAGTTCATTCAGTTTTCACACTGTCTAAAGTTCTGAAACATTCCAGGGGTTCTAGTGGTATGATAAAATGGCTTAGTGGGTACACAATCTAAAAAGGTTGGGAACCACTGAGATGAATCAGTGGCAGGTCATAGTGTGAGGTAGATCTCATAAGAATAGCTGACCTTTAAAAAACATTTATGTAAAAATATTGTGAGCAATTAACAGCCTGCCTGTTGTACACAGCTCTGTCATTAACCTCTGGACAAATAGTTTAGACATGATGAGCTCAAGGCTAGTCTGAGTTCAAACAACTTCAATCCCAAAATATTTGTTGTGGTTCAAGCTAACGTCTGAAAACCTTTGCATTACTGTTAAGTTATTGTGGCGCAATTATTTACATAGAATTCTGTGGTTATCTGTAAGTGCAAACAGTATCAGCAGCAGCTAGCTGTAGCAGTTCCAGTGCAGCTTTGAGCATTCTCAGCAGAAATATCAAAGCATTTTTGTAGGAATAACTGTGTAATGTGAAACTGACTGTGGTGTAAAGCTTTTTAAAACAAAAAAAAATATGACCCTGGTGTATTTTAGGATAGCAGCAAATCCAATTTGGTTGTGGCCCAGCTCAGACCAGATCTTAGCTTGTCAATCCTGTCGATCCTCTGTTGCTCCAAATTGAAGTTTTTCAAAGAGCTATGTACAACAGGTAAGATATTAGTTGTTCACACTTTCTTTTTACTTTAGCATGTCCCCTACAAGATTTACATTTTACAAAACTGGATGTTGTCTGGATGCTGAGATTTTTATGAAATAATACTGAAGTTTTAGATTTTATCTTGTCCCCATTTTGCAGACATGGACAATAGATCGGAAGAAAAAAGGACTTAATTTTATTGTATAAAATGTTAAGTCAGACCTTTGGCAGGGAGGCCCTGGAGCCTGAGCTCTGTGTGGTCATGGTGAGCACCGTGGTGATCCCTAACCCCACTCTGGCCGGAGCAGCATCCATGTTGATCCAGAATGACACCCAGGACAGGATGACGGTGAGCAGGCTTGGTATGTACATCTGGATCAGGTAGTAACCCATCTGACGCTCCAGGTAGAACTTGACCTCGATGCAGGTGAATTTACCTGAACGAGTCACGAGGAGATTAGACGTTCAAACCGTCAGGAGATCAGGACATGCTGCTGGTATCCCCTCATGCTCTGTACCTGTGTTGTAGTGCTTTGTGCAGTAACCCAGACCTTTCTCCTCCTTCAGCACAAACTGAGGGAGCATCAGGTCGTCAGCCACCTGCACCGCTCCGACATCCAACCACTCAAAAATCAGGTCGTTCATAGTGTAGCCAACTACGGGAAAAAGAAAGGTGCGCAGTGAGTGGCAAGCTCTCCTATCGGATTTTTATTTATTTATTTATTAACTTTTGCCTGCTTTAGAAACAGCACTCACAGCTCTCCAGCTGCATTGTGCACATCTGGCTGTCCATGGGAAAGTTCTTCAGATCCATGGGACAGGAGAGTGTGAGTGTCAGCCTAGAAAACAGGGCCAGCAGCACCGTAAGAGGGTTGGACTGATGTATAAAACAAAAAGGTAAGTTTATAACTCCTGCACCTCTAAACCCATTATAAGCTCACCAGCGGTGGGCACAGCTAACCAAAACGTAAGCTTCAGTAACCGCTAATCTGCTAAACAAGAATCCAAGCTCTGCTAACACTTTTGGTTTTGATTAAACCTTTTGTTTAATCACATGCAACATAGCAAGATCTAACCAGACGTAGCTCTCAGAGTATGTACTCAAGATGACTCTTAGCCACTACCACATCAAACTTTAGCTTAATGTGTGTAAAAAGGACTTTTTGTGTTTGCTAAAGTCAGTGAGTTGCAACAACCATCTTAAATTGGGTTGATTTCAAAAGTGAATCAGTTGTAGATGTACACAGAATGATTACTTTTTGAGAGTTTTGTTTAAAAATGAGCCGATTATCGCCTTCACAGAGGTGCTTTAAATGATGCCATTAATGTCTTGTTTTCTAATTATAACTCGTTACCATCACACTACATTTCCCTCCTGCTTTAGTGCCACTTTACTGCCCTTTGTTTTAGCCTGCAGTGATAGCTTTACTTTAACTTGTTCACGGCRCGTGCTGGGCGATACAATTACAACTGAGCTGAACTGGAGTGAGACAAACATGTAGAGGGCCATATGGTGGGATTCAAWCTTCTGACTTCAGCTCTTAAGGAAGTTTAGAACGACAAACAAACTTCACTAATGTAGACGTAAAACATCATGATTTATTACTAAATCTGATTCCGTTCACCTGATGCTGTAGAGGACGTTCCCATTCTGGAAGATCCGAAGCAGTTTGTTGTCAGTGGTGACTTCATGAAAGTTTGCTCCCTTCTCATTGGCAAAGAACAGGTCGGGTTTCCAAATGGAGTCCAGCATGGAGGGGTCTAAATCCAGGGAGTCGTCTGGATATTCCTTATAAGCCAGTCGAGGGTCATTCCACTGCTGTCGTAGAAATACGTTAAGCCGGTAGTCCTAAAATACAGAATTACATTAACATTAATATGAAACAAAAAGTCATGTGGAGAGTTAAAGTCATTTACAAACATCTKAATATTTTACAGAAGATTTGTGGATCTAAGTAAGCAGAGAAACAAATTAATCTCTTAGGTGACAAACAAAGTCTGACTATTTTAAGTGCTCATAAACTGAACGACAGCAAACAGCACTCTCATTTTATCAATTAAAGTTTGATGCCTTTCACTTAGAGGTGTTTTAGAGAATCCACAAGGGGCCACACTCTAAATCTGAATAAATCAAAAGTAAATAAAACCTTCATCAGACACCCTGCATGTGGCCGATAAAAAAACAAAACAGCAAAATGAGCAGACAGAATGAGCAGAAAAGGGCTAATATTAAAGGTTTTAATTAGTTGTAGTAATTTATTAACAGGAAGTTTATGTAACATGGAAATCAGTCGCTGTGAAACGTTACAGAGGAGCCAAACAAGGAGATAAAATAAATATCAAGAACTATCTGAATGACAGCTGAAATGTGGTGAAAAAGCTGAAACAATTAAAGGTTAAAACAAGCAGAACAAAAGCTATAGTTATCAAATAAAAGCTTAAATGTAGACAATCATTGTTAGGAGCTTAAAAATGCAAATACTGTGTTTAAAGCTCAACTTATCATAACTGGCTAAACTAAAAGATAAAGTCAAAACAATTGTTTAAATAAGAAAAATATGAGCTAAAATGTACACAACCATTGCTACAAGTTAAAAATACTAAAACTGTGTCTAAACTTAAAATTGTCTAAAGCTGAATTAAAAGCTAAAACCAGCAAATCAGTAGCTACGAGCGAAAAGAGATCTGGGGTTTCCTCTCAGTGGGAGGTGACTAAAAGACATCCAGAGGAAGGCATTCAGGAAGCAGATGTTCAAACCACCTCAGATGACTGCTTTTGGTGCGAAGGAGCAGCAGCTTTACTCCAAACTCCCTTCAGAGGATTGAGGTCCTCATCTTATTTCTAAAGCTGAACTCAGACACCTTACACAGGAAGCTCATTTTAGTCACTTATTTAAGCGAATCAAGAATTTTAGATTGGAGATGCTTGGTCAGACTCATAATCTATTTTATCAAAGTGAGGTCGAACAAAGAGCTGTCTACAACAGGTAAGATATTCATTTTTAACCTTTCCACAAAACCCCACTTCAAAGATCTGAACTTTGTAATGACATTTTTTTAAAAAAAATTCTGGGTTTAAAGTAAGAACATTTTCTCATCTAAGCTTCTATTTGGTCTGCTGTATGTAAAGCTACATGTAAAGTACAGTAAAGTAGTTCAAACTAGYGCCAAACACTGAGTGTTCATTCTGATGATTCACAATTAATGTCACACTGAATGAATAATGCAGCRGCCTAAAGGGACCAAATTGCTGCGTTTACTTCTGTACTTGAATGTTGCTTGGACTTTATTGGAGTAAAATTTATTTTCATCTATGCTGGGGGGTGGGGGGATTTTGTCACAGATTCTAAAATAAATTGCTAAAATAGTTAAAATGTGTGACGTACTGTTCGTTGTCCAGGGCTAACTTCACAGAAACGTTCCTTTTATGTTGCGTGACAAGAGTCAGTGGAGAGCTCACACTGAAGGCAGGGATTATTTTTGAAAGGCAAACTTGGGTATATTTGTCCTTGTTACCATCCTGCATCCCACAGACCAAGAGGTTCACTATTTGCAAGGGGCACCACCAAGGTGGTGGGTGGATAATGATTATCCCTAAAAAACTGGAGGCCAACTGAGAGGTGTCATATATATATATA